GTTTATCCGTCAACACTTTTCAGTCATGAGTTCAGGTGACTTGCATGTGTCCACTTTGAGTTAAGCAGATCGCATTTAAATGGCGAGTGTGGCACACCAGACCAGTGGACAGGTGAGATGACATGTTATATAACAGAGGTCGTGTCAGGTGTGCGTTCAGGACACGGGCGCAGTGAACTTGTGAACAGCTTGCGGGTTTGTGAAGGGAGGGGTTGATGTGATTGCTTGTCGGTAATGGTCTCGTTTTGGCGGGAGATTGGGGTGAAGGCTACGGACTCGATAATAGAGAAGAGATGTGTGCACACACGAGTTGGGGCCTGTGTTATGAGGCGGTCGACCAGTCTGAGGACTTGACCCAGTTAATAAAAATTGCCTGCGTTTTCTTGTCAAGACGGTAACAAAACAGAATGTGACGTTGTCGAGCTGAATACATCAGCATATCACATGACTACTTGGGTCAATAGGGGCACAACGCGTACCCACCAACACCACAGATGCCTTTCTCATGCTGCAACTACTCTTATCGATTCAGGTCTCAAATAGTGTGTACGCAACATTGCTTTTACAAACCTTTCCAACCTGGTGGAATTTCTAACCAGTTGAACACAATGTTGGGATATTCATTGATTCCTGACAAAGTAAAGAAACACACAGATTTGACTCAAACTCCACTAAGTGTGGCTCCCTGAATTAAAGGTTTACGAATTAAGATCCAGCACGTCAGTCGGAATTAAGGCACCAAATTAACAAACTGCCTATTGGCTTTAATCAATCACGCGCACCGACGACTGATCCCTGATTGGTTGAGAGCACCTCCAATCCGTGCACACTCAGCAGTCTCAAATTTAAGCGCCTTGGAGGCACAGTTTCTAAGCGGCGTTCCCTAAAGCCTGTGGAATTTCACAGTATCTCTTCGAAACCGCCATTTCCAGCATTTCACACCATGTGCACACACTAACGTGAAATCGAGACAATGGTGGATAATAGTGATGACTTCATGAAAAAAGAGTGCTCATGATAAATGTGGCAGACAGTAGTAGTAACCTGTGTGTTGATTCGGCGTGTGTATTTCTCCAAATCGAAACACACTTCTCAAAGGAGTGCCCATTTAGCATGCAAGACTTGAAAGAATTACACTCGTTTTGGCCAGTTTAAACTCGTATTATTTAATGCGTTTTTGCTTCACTTTTGTTTTACTGTGGCATCTGGAGATATCCAGTTGCGGAGGCCCAGATATAAGTCCAGATCACACCTTGACGTGAGACGAGACATCTAACACCTTAATCAGGGGTTAGTGGCACTACATCGATAAATGCTTTGATTTCATTGTTCGGTAGTTCAGAGTTTTCAGATATGCATGTAACCTAATTTTTGCCACTCGTGGTAAACCTAATGAACACTTGGTAAAACGAGACCACAACTACGATGATTCGGTCGGCGACACATCACCTATTCTACTGAAATCGTCGTAGTAGCTGTGTGTGTGGATGTGGCTCCACTAGTTGTGGCTGGGCGAGTAGGTTCAATTAATAACTCCGTCGATGCCTTCCTGACTGACACAAAACAAGGTAATTTTTAAACTAGATTTCCTGGATCTCAATGTAAATGCGTGGAAGTCGGGAAAACTGAAAACAGCCATCCACAATGTGTGGGCAGCGTCGCAAAAGAATGTCGCACTGATATGCAGATAAGTAGCATGTCACAGTTATTTCACTAATCCACTAGGCTTATATGTACGTCCATTGTGACTCTTCGAACCTGCTTGACCACTGTTGAGGAAGTAGAAAGTATAGCGTTTTAAAGATATTCTTCTGCCAAAGGAGTGAGACTGAATTCAAGCGTTGGTATCGTGGCTGACTGCATCATTGTGCGCAGGATGATTCATCTCACTCAAAGCCGATGGCCTCTATGACCTTGAAGCAAGTGCTATACAGTCAATGTGTCAAATAGCTATGGGCCCGATTGCATCACCTTCCAACTGACTTGTGAGCTGGATCATCACGGAATTATTGCAATAAGAGGTGCAGGAGTCTAATGTTTCAAAACTGACGGATCAGACTGAAGTAAACATCGTTGCAGGCGTTAAAGTTGGGCTGAAGTGGCATTTGAGGTGGTGGGAGGCAATCAAAGCCACTGTGGTGTCACTTAGTTCTACCTACTGCCGATCGTTCTGGCCAACACTCATTCCACTGCCCTGATGGACATGGATTGATCATATACACGAAGAACACTCTGTAGTGGTGTGACGGCCATCTCGCGTGAGTGATGCGTGCACGAGGGCCCGTGTGCACCAATGACCCACCCTTTTTCTTATTGGCCTCTGTCAGC